CTTAGGAGGGTGGGTCGAGTTTTGTGCCAGCTTGTCCACGTACATCCTACAAAAAAGAGTGTAGGAAACGTCACACTGATGGCAGGGGTCGCTTAAGTATCTTTCCTCCATGGCTGCAGTGTAAGATTGAGGAAGCCGGTCGGAAGTTTGGAATGTTTCATAAGGTTAGCGAGCACGGTACTATCCGCGATTATACTTAACAGAACGTGAGAAAAAAGGAGGAAGCTGGTGTTCAAATTTGGCCAGACTTATATCTTTCATCCTATTATTCTTAAAATTCTCCTTGCCTTAGGTTTGATTTGACTTTTTTTTTCCGGGAGACTCCTAATAAGTGTATGCATATTTCTAAATAAAGAAAAGTAGAAACTGGAAAGGTGAACTTTTATGGACGTAGTGTGTTCAGATGATCTGACAAGGCATCTTTCATTTCCTTTTCCATAACACATGTGTATTCTCTTAACCTTATTATCATTCAAGCTGGCAATGAACTTTCCTTATACACAGATAGGGTCTGTTATACATATGATAATACATTTATATGGTAAGTAGATGTAACAAGATGAAAGTCAGTGCAGTCATTATTTCATTATATCAAAACTTATTCTTTTTTCTTCTTTTATACCCTCCCTAGAGACAGAGTGAGGAAAAGAGCCAGTAACTGTCCAGGAGAGCAGAGAAGTGTATAAAAAAGCTAAGGTAAGGGCCATAGGGGACAAATACAATATTATCATTATTATATAAAAAAATAAATAAATAAAATAAAAGATGAGTACATGTAAGGCCACAATCACTTTGTAAATTTGATATACTTTAGTGTGCGTACCTAAATCCATCACTGTCATAGTTTCCACACTCTGCACTCCAGCAAAGGCAAACAACCATTGCCATATAAATTCTGACAAGACAGAGCTTGCACAATTCCCAGATTAGAGTTAGGAACCAGAATAAGCTTTCTCAGGCCAAATAGAGGTGGTGGAATATTGATGACTTTATGTGGAAGTCATGAGATTGCTTGATGTGGTCCTGTTCTGGACATTTACCAAACCCAGAATATCTATGCTCAAAAAAAGGATGAAATAAGACTAAATAATTACTACTGTATTTCACATTTTTGTGTTATAAGTATTTTCCTAGTTCACACAAAACACAAAAAAGTGTACATGATGCTCTCTTCTTTTAGGTGAATGTAAATTGGGAAAAATAAATATAGACAGTTGTTTCATTTTTCTTTTCATCATTTTTATGACACTATGATATTACATCATAAATATATATTCTGACATGATAATTATACCATGATGATAACAGAAAAAAAAAAAAAAAAAAAAAATGTTGCTTCAAGGTCACTGCAACAACTTTGATACACACTTTCAGACATACCGCAGAGAACACAACACATTGTCTAACATGCTACCTTAGGGGGACGGGTTTAAGCGCCCCCCCCCATTAGCGTGACCTCGAGTCTAGTCAAAACCCCTAAGGGCCAATTCTACCTGCAATACTACTACCAATGTACCTTGTCTACCTCTCTACTACCCCAAAGTAGAATACCACTACCCATGCCCTAACAAGACAGCATGACATAAGTACTTCTCAGTGAGAGAGAGAGAGAGAGAGAGAGAGTGAGAAAGAGAAATAGGAAGAGAAAGGTACAGAAACAAAAGACATCTACATTTAAAAATTTCCATCATCAAAACAAACTACAAAACACCTACAGAAGAAACTAAGCCAAAGAAAGTAAGAATTATACTAATCCTGAGAATCAACAAAAAGACAGAAATAAAATAAATAACTAATTACATACTAACAGTCATAAATATGGTAATTTTGCTTAGTGCACATCACAATGGCTATGGTAAACAACATGAAAACACCAGATGGATTAATTCTTGCGACACTTTTTATCCATGATATTTTTATAGCTATTTTTAATGCGAATGACTTAACATTATAAATGACACTGATACCCAAATGTGATGGAGTCAAACAATTCCTACGACTTTCACCCTCTTAGTGATTTCCAAAAGATCAAGAAACTACCAGCACATATATTCTGATTTTGATGCTTGGTCTCGTTGTGAGCCAATTAGGAGGCCTAAATGCCCTCACCAGATTTCCCCATTTCCTTGATTTTTTTTTCTTTTGTGTTAACAATATTGATGTTATTATTATATAGATTAAGATTATATTTTTATGTTATTAAGAATACTAACAACATTACAAAGTTTCAAAAAATATATTTTTAAAAATCGAGGAAAAGGGTAAACAGATAAGATAGGTAGCCCTAGCAACAGACTTCTTGGTAACCAAATAATTTTATGTATACATGATATAAAAAATAGAATTCACAGTAGACATGACGTATTTTCGCCATCCATGCATCAGTGGGTTAATGACAAACATGTGGTATCTGGCATCAGCATCACTATGGTGGACTTGACTACTTGGTAGGCATGTCAGCTCCAATATGGCACACCATTATAAAGAAGGTTATTGTAGGTTATAGCAAAAGGAGTAAGGCAATGATAATGTTAAACATAGGGTTATCTATCATATGGGAAAAACTGGATGAGAAAATGCATTTGATCCTGAAGCCAATCTGAGGTCTTAGGCTTGAAAAGGTCTGGTTGAGTTGAAGGTACAGTTACATTAAGTGAAAAGAAGTGAGGTTAGGTGAGGTTTGTAATGTGAAGAAAAATAAAGTCTTGGGTTGGATTATATAAATTTAGGTTAGAATAAGACTGGATAAAATTAGGTGTGGTAATCTAAGGATACGGCAATGGATAGTTTGGCTTGGTTTGGGTTAAATACAGTAAAGTAAAGGAGACCCACAGATAGGTTAAAGTTAGTTAATATAGATAAAGTAAAGTAAGGAATGGTGATATTGGGTTAGCTTATGGGTTGACAAACTATAGATTAAATGCCACATTTCAATACTGACCACAGCAATATTAATATTTGAAATCTGACATTATATCTTTAATCTATATTACTAAATCCAGTGTTTGTTTTTGCTATTATAAGACTGCTATTATATCCTACCTCTTCCTCCACCTCTTCAACCTCAACTCCCTACATCCTATCCAAGCATGTCTTCCTGAGCTGCGTGATTATCGACTCAGGAAAATAGCTATCTATAAGAAATTCCCTAAATGCCTTAAATAAGTCAAAGTATACTTTCACTGGCTCACTGAAATATAACCTAGCACGAGTTAATTTATTTGTGGTACTAAACGTACCCATTCATTGTAATTAAAGACTGATATATCATGGATGAAAAGTGTCTTTGAAAAAATCAAGCTGCTGATTCCATGCACTGTAAACCTCATAAATACAGATGCACACAAGAACAAAATGACCAGTTCTGATATAAAAAGACAAGAAATAAAACTATAAACTAAAAAATAATA